TAATTTAAATCAAAGTCAACCATTAGTTTTGATCACAATTTCATGGAACCCACAACTTTTCAACCACACATTTCATCAACTTTTATCAAAATCAATTAAAAATCTTACTTTAATCCCCACCATACAGGGGCCTAATATAATAAACACTCGTTGAAATCATCTTTATACCTGCTAAGCATCCTCTGATCCACCAGAACACAATCCTCCATTTTGCCCAGTCCATCCTAAACTTATGTATTACGTCCTTGTTAAGTTCTAGTTCTTGTTGATTTGTAAACTAAATATCCTAACAGTCATTCAAATATATAAACAAACAATTTTATTTTCCTTTCCCTCCAATGTCCACACAAATATCAGTATACTCATAACTCGCACAGTTCCAATAACAATACAATACAAGTTCTAAAAAGTGGCAAGGCCAATATAAAACTCTCTCTTAGTATACAAAACTTCATCTCAATTCTCAACGTGCCAACTGATGAAACCATTATAAACTGTTCCAGGCTTTCTAATACAGCAGCTATCAACCAAATCAAATCGTTTAGTCATTTTTTGTCCATTGTAACACCGACAACGAGGTTGCTTACCTGGAAATTTTGAGATAATTGTCTCAGATTTATTCTTCTTCAGCATGATGAGCAGGGACAAGAAAAAAAATGTAAGAAAACTTACCAATTTGCCACTCTTGTCAACCGACATGGGATTTTCGACAACCACAGTTTGGCTCTGAGAATTGGGTAATGCCTGCAGTAAACGACAAATAACGGTAAAAATATGATAAATAACTTTCCCATGTAATGTGTTCCTGAATAGTAAACATCGTATCAGGAACTAACTGCTGAGCTAGAGGGCATTGATGCTGAAGTGGGTACTCCACTTGGCCGATGCATGGGAATGGGGACCCTAGCATTACCCATCTGCAAATATAAAACAATGAGATAAAAGCACGATATTAGAGATGAATAACACGATGGTATAGAATTACGACCTTAGTTGTACAAGAAATTTGAGTAGTGAATTCGTAGATGTTCAAATTCAGAGCACATGATATTTTAAGGTTTGATCATAATCGAGGCATACACGTCCAAAAAAATTGAAAGACATATATCAATATACTTACATTGACATTTGTGATATACTGACAAACAGCGCATTTCACAGATGGAGCACCATATGGGTACATTAGGGTTGTGCGGCAATTCCCACAATTGACATGAGCAATGTTGGGTGCTAGTCAGACAGTGAAAATCCAAAATAAGAAAACAGAAATCCAACGAATCTAATTTCCAAAAAAAAAAAAGAAAAAGAATGGTACTGCAGTACATTTTTAGTGTGTAGTAATAGAAATTTTGGGGAACCATGTAATTTAGGGAAACAGAATACAAGTTGTAGTGGTAAAAGATTTATTTCTTCTGTTTACATTTAGTTCACTGTCATGTAACACGCATGATATTTTAACATACATGGAATAGAAATAGTAGTGAAATTCACAGGGCAAAAATCCCATGCTCATTATTTAAACAGGCTTAGGATTATGTTGATGACAATGGGTCAAACATCATGCATCATCATATATCATTCTGACTTCATTGGCAGAAACTTCATATGATTCAATGTATTAAACCTTGCAATAAAGAAGAAGAAAATGTAAAAAACCAAAAATATTGGCAACATAGAAAAACAATTTTTTAGAAGTCGTCGATGCATAATAAATTTACACGCACTCGTGCGCACATACATATATAAACACTTGTCTAGGCCCATTCATTGCCCCTCCTGGAATTCAGCAGATGACCAGATGTGCCACCTAGACTGCTTGAGTAGCTATTGGGTCTAATTGATCAACGATGGTTTATGGTATACTCAAACAGAAATGACAGTCAAATCACCACCTGCTTGACTATGCAGTACTAATTTTCCTCTCAAGACAAAGAGCCAAACCATAAAAAAAGGCATATACTCTTCCTATGTCCTGGAAGTTCTCAAAAGCAATCAAAATCCTTTTTGACGAATTCATATCATTCAGTGACAAGATGGATTGACAAAGCTAATCAAATAGTGATGAAATTTGACTCTGACAATTTCAAATCCCTGAAAATGGCAAGCCCAAAAAATACACTTTTCAGATCACTATTGACCAAGGCTCAATAGATTTATTAGAAAATCTAACTGTTGAGTTTTAAGAATCAAGATAGCCATCAAGTTTACCTGGTGCAAGATTCACTGTATGACAACAAGAGCATCTCACACTTGTAGCACCATGGGTATACATCAACAATGTGCGGCAACCTCCACATATCAGTTGGGACATTTCCATTACTGAGAGGAGGGAGATTTAAGTCACAAAAACACATGGAACAGAAGTCCAATGCTCAAACAGATCATAATAGCATAAGTGCCCAACATTATACATGTATAGATCATACTTGACATGGTTTCAAATTGCACAACTTTTTCAAATCACCCAAATATTACAAGTTTGCCAAAATCTCAAGTTTTGTAGCTCTTAATCTCGAGATGAGCAGAAACAAGCTAGTCAACTTTATCAAATATCCTATATAAACACATGCACAATCTAAGCCACCATTTGATAAAATTTATAAATTGGCTTATAAACTCAGTCAAAGTCAAACTTTAATTTCAACCGCACATTTAAAACTACTAATATTATCCACACATTTCGTAGGATACACTGTTATTCCTCTTACCATTCCTATTTATAAACCATTTATTTAAAGGGTTTTCAACCGATTATTTGGGGATCTTATAAACCTATTTCAATTTTAACAAATAGTCGGTTATACAACTAACCGGAGTTCCTGGGAAAATCGTTTGGTCCTTATAACACTTGTGAGCATATATAACTCGAGCATTATGTCCCTCGCAATTCAAAAGTCTGTCTACAAATGATGAAAGAAAAGGAGCTAGTGGATGAACCACTGCAATTTGTATAAACCATTTATAAAGTTGCCAAGTGGAGGCTAAGTCTATTAGAATACAACACTATAATACTTGAATAAATTGTTAACCAGCCAATATGTAATTATATAGAGATTGATTGAGCCCAAGGGCCCTTTCAGAAAACCAAGAATATAGCGATCACTCGAATATATTGAGCTCGTAATTGTACTTTGCATGTCAAAAGTCTCTCTATGGTTGATGAGAGTAAGGGAGCTAATTGAGGAGAACATTAGATGGTTCAGATATATACCATAGTGAAAGAAACATAAGAGTTTGTCACTATGTATTTGATCAAATAGGATCGTTCAATTCATATACAACTTATCACTAAAATCCCCCTAGAGACCAGATAATGAGCTACTAGAGTTCGGAAAGCATGTCCTTACTACACCGCGCCTAGAAGATTTTTTTTTACCTTAATTTATATTTAATTTATAAATTTCAGTGATAGGTTCGTTACCATAATATCTTGAATAATGCGAAGAAAAAGGGTATCACATGATCACTAGAAGCGGGAACACATATAATTTTCATTTTCTTCCTTTTTCAATTGACATTTTAAAGCTATCAAATCAAACAAATTTTACGATATTCAATTTAAAAGAAAAGAATTCAACATTTTCCAATGATAGCTTCGCTGAAATTTAGAATTCGATCTTACCTGGAGGGGGCACAGAAGTGATGGTATTACACACGGCGCAACACACATTTGTTGCTCCACTCGGGTACATAAGAAGGCTTCTACACCCGTTGCACACTACCTGGCTCTGCATTCCTGTAATTATTTTATATTATTAAAAAAAAAAAAACCATCAGTTAAATTAACATGAATTAGAAATTAGAAAGAAATCGAAATTTCCAGAAAAATTGGAATTGTAGAGAACTGACCAAATATTATAAAATATAAAGAATCGGAAGTTGATGGATTTTCAGTTCAACAGCGATGAAGAATCGGTTTTCGTTGGGGTTTTGAAATCGCAACGGGAATCGGAATCGGGATGGAAATTGGAATTCTACGGTGAAAGGAACGTAAATGGCTTGGTTGGGG